TTGGGTCATTAACATTCTGAAAAGACGCAGGTTGTTATTTATCTTTGCATAAAGATTGAAATAAAAACCAATTAGCCTTCACAAAATTCCATCGAGGTGAAGGAGGATCATCAGTGGGATTAATGGGCTTAAGCACGGTGGGGAAATGGTCACTCCCACATAGGTCATCGTGCGCTGACCATGAGAATTCGTTTAACAAAACTGAATTCGTCAGAGACAGATCTAATGATGAATATGTACCAGTTGCAGGGTGTAAGTAAGTGTCCGAGTCATCATTAAAGATGCATAAATCATTATCGGAAACAAAATCCTCGATCACTTTACCCTTTTGATTAAGTATTGAACTTCCCCATAAAGGATTATGCCCATTTAGATCACCCATGATGATACAGGGCTTTGGGAGTTGGTCATATAGTTTTTGTAGATCATTTCGCTGAAGACTTGAAGAAGGAGGAATGTACAAGGAGCAAAGCATGAAGGCAATATGCAGTGTAAGTCTAACTGCAACTGCTTGCAGATTCGAGTCAAGCGGAACAGGACTGTGAACAACGCCCTGCCGCACTAAAATAGAAGCACCTCCAGTAGCTTTATCTCCCGGAGGAGAGAAGGAACGATATGGACTATAGTGCTATAAATCAAACTTATCTGTAATTTTTAGGTACGTCTCTTGTAAACAAATTGCTGATGGGTTTAAATCAGTTGTTTATAACTGCAGTTCATTAAAATTATGCCTAAGTCCTCTGCAATTCCATTGCATTATATTAGACAATTGAGTGAATGTGAGGAGGAACTACTCCTCCGCCTGTCCTGTGAGGACAGAGTAACCTCCATGTCCAGAGGCCCAAAGGAGTTCTGTAAAGGAACCTCTGAAAGTGAAGGGACGACTGGCAGTTGTTTTTTCGTCAATTTCTTTTTTTCTTTATTTGACAAATGAACAACTGGTTGTTTGACTGACGTATGAGATTGTTTCTCAGACTGAATCCTAGTCCTTAGATCCTGAACTAGATAGACAGATGGTAGGTATAGGCTGAGTGATTGGAACAGTATCAACTGGTTGATCTGACGTGACCCATGTCAAGTCAGTCTGACACGAAATAGTCGTTGTAACAGAGCGGGAGACTGCAGCGGAGTAGGAAATAGTTGAGGGGGTAGTGGTCTGATTTTTAATAGTTTTTGGCATCCAGGTAGGATATGGTTTTTTCACATTTTATTTTCATTATTTTGGATTCCATTTGCCACACAGGGCAAGATTTGGATGAAGCAACATGTGGGCCTGAACAATTTGCACACTTCAGATCATGATTACAATCAATGCTCTCATGGTTGTCTCCACAACGATGACACACCAGAGTTATGACAGGATTTTGAACCATGACCGAAATGTTGGCACTTGTAGCATCGGAGCGGATTGGGAACATACACATCCACTCCGATATTCAAATAACCTGCTTTGATTGACTGTGGAAGGGATGTTCGGGCAAACGTCATAAGATAGGTATTGGTGTTCGTGATGACACCGTCTTTCTTGATCGTGAAACGTTTTACTGCGGTTACAGCCTGGTCTTCCAACTCTGTAGCAATTTCTTCTTCAGACATGTCGGACAGACAACGAGCCCTGTCACGAACAATGCCACGACAAGAATTTAATGTTCTGTGCAAAGACACAGCAACCTCAATATTGGCAAATGTAGATATAGACAAAAGATTGAGAGGTTGCTGTCTCCGTGCACACTCCACCAGAAGCGAACCACTACGGAGACGGGTGACGTACTTGACCTCACCACAAATCCCGGACACAGCCTTAGAAATGGCAAAAGGATTTAATTTGATAGGTAGGTTATCAGCAGCCTCAATCACCAGGAATCTAGCCAAGGTATCAATATTTTGAGGAATACTTCCAGATGAAATATCAGTCTTCAAATCGTCTCTTTTTTTCATTGCGAGATGAACCAGATTGTAGTTGAGCCATGATGAAAGAAAATGATTCAGCACCCCTGCTCCCCTGCTCCCCACCCTCCATCGAGTGTCAACAAGGACAGTGTTATATTGCACCGGATATCCAAGATGCAAAGACCAGGGATACAGGGATGTTATACTCCAGGGAAGATGACACGAACAGCTGTATTTGTTTACCAACTAAATGCCAGACTGGTTCGGCCAATGACAAGAAATTGGAAACATACATCATTCAGAGGTCAAAATCACCAGATTGGCCCATGAGCCACCGCATTCTGGCATAGGACTCTAGGCAATATTTAGATTTACATTAATTGGAGTATCATATTACATCATAAATATTGTTCAATATGATATATATCTAAAGTGGCACTTTTCCATGCACAGGGCATGGCGTGACCAGCCGATTGATAGAATCGGGCCAATTCTACCACCCGTCTAGGTGAAGTTAGGGTCAAAGTGGTGTGTTCCTGTTCCTGTTCCTGGCTCCAGTGCCCTCTTTCACCGCAACCCACGGCAAACGGGTTGCCCAGGTCGGTCGCCTTTTACGACCAGCAATGGGGTACTGTGGACAAATCCTACCCCGGGTCCACAGGGGGGAAGAGTTATAGCGTTACCCAGCACTCACCACGAGGAGGTTGCTCTTCACGAGTGCCCATGGGTGACTTGAACGGACCATAGTGTTAACTTAAATCCAAAGGAGAAAATACTTGAAGATTTTATTTCTGATAACAATTTATGCATTTTCAATGATGGATCAAATACCTATTTACATCCTGCTACTGGAACTTTTTCCGCTTTAGATCTGTCACTAACAGATTCAAATCTATTAAACGAATTCACGTGGTCGGTCAACCATAACTTGTGTGGAAGCGACCATTTTCCTACAATATTAACAGCAAATAATCTATCTGATGTTCCACCTACATCAAGGTGGAATTTTACCAAGGCCAACTGGCTTTCCTTTCAGGAACTCTGTACGAATAGATTAACACCTGATATATTCAGGACTGTTACCGACCCAATCCAATCGTTTTCGGATAAGCTGAATGAAATTGCTGATATAACCATCCCTATGTCCTCTGCACACCATTGTTTCATAAAGAGTGCATACAGGCTAGGAAGTGCAGGAAAAAAGCGGAGAAATATTTCCGCCGACATCCAACTGTCCACAACTTAAATACTGTTAAAATCACAAATGCCTAGGCACGCCTCACATTTAAACAAAATAAGCGTAAATCTTGGAGGACCTATGTCTCTAAAATTAATTCTCGCACACCAATATCAAAGGTGTGGAACATGATAGCAAATAGTAAAGGCAAAGGGTCAAAATCAACTGTTCCAACCATCTAAAGGAAGGTGACCATCTTTTAACAGATAAATTGGACATTGCCAATAAATTGGGCGACACGCTGACCAAACACTCTTCATCATCAAACTATGATCCTAAGTTTCAAAATTATCAGTAACAACATATGTTTGACCGTATCGATTTTTTCATCACAAGGGAAAATTATTTCCAGGTTTCAACCATGTAGGATCTTTTTACTGTAAATTCTCGTTTAATTCTGTAGTTTTTAAAAGAAATAAGAGTTGATTGATAAATTTTGATATGTAAAAAGTATGTGATTTTAATTTGGTAGAATGAACTAATAACTGAGAGTGGTGGCTGTACCTTCAAAGGGGGTTGAAGTAACGTAAAATAATTGTCCCCCTGAGAAGGTACGTAACTCCCATTTCATTCAAAGTATTTTTCATTTTCCATGTTTTTTAATCGCATAATACTTGTTGTTTTTAAATGCTTTGGCTAAAACCTTCTAACAATCACCAGTAGCCAGAGGGAAGGTGTAAATCCTGCTGGGGTACCATGCAGGAAGCAGATGTACCGTAAGTCCCCATGGTCCTTTGTGTGGTGGCCTAACTTTGGTTGCTGGTGATCACTAGCCAATATTCATAATGTATTGTTCTGAGGAGTCAAAATGTTATGGTTACTTACTAGTTTTATATTTATAGCTGTGCTACTCTAGTTCTTTTACTGCCCATTGACGAGAGATTTTATATATTTATGTTTATATTAGTGTATTATTACTGTACAACTTGATTTAGTCACGATATGGCTGAAATATTGCCGATGTGACTATAAATCTTAACTCACTCACTCACTCGCATCCCTATGGGGAAGCTAATTCAGCAACACGCCCTATTGTAAAAGGCAATATATTGTTTTATGTATGAAATAATTGGTAAAAATGTACACAATACTCACATGGTGAGTAAAAATGTCAAACTATACGAACTCGACTCATGAAGATCCGGGTTCAGAATAGGTATTCAGTAACACGTATTTGCCGCAAGAGGTGACCATGCCGCACTCAGCAATATTTTAGCTATATGACTTAGGTTTGTAAATAATCGAGTCTAGACCATACAATCCAGTGATTGACAGTATGATCATCGATCTACACAATCGGTTGGTTGGGTTGTTCTTAAACGCCGCACTAAGCAATATTCCAGCTATATGACGGCGGTCTAAATAATCGTGTCTGGACCAGACAATCCAGTGATTGATATCATGAGCATCGGTCCACGCAATTGGGATCGATGACATGCATCAACCAAGTCATCGGAGCCTGGCTACCCGATCCCGTTAGTCGCCTTTTACGACAAGCATAGTCGCCTTTTACGGCAAGCATGGGTTGCTGAAGACCTATTCTACCCCGAATCTTCACGGGTCCCACGCAATTGGGATACGATGACATGCATTAATCAAGTCAGCGAGCCTGACCACCCGATCCCGTTAGTCGCCTCCTACGACAAGCATAGTCGCCTGTTACGGCAAGCATGGGTTGCTGAAGATCTATTCTACCCCGAATCTTCACGAGTCAACTGTGTATGTAGTGATGTTTACATATAATGGTTATGTTATGTGAGGCCTTGTGAGCGGTCACATCAATAAACATTTCACCGATGCCAGTTAGACTTTGGATGACAGCTTGCTAGAACAGAATAGGCTTGATATGAATTACTCTCATTTAATGTTACAGGTCCAGGACCGATGCATGAATGGGGGCGACTACAGCCAGGACAAACATATTTGTCAATGTTATGGTGGATATATTGGCCAGTTCTGTGAAAGAATAATGCAGGGTACGACAGTAACCATCTTTATTTATCGTATCCATTTTCGAAGTAGTGACTACAAATTACATGTGATTTGATGTTTGTTGTTTAACGCCGTATTCAACAATATTCCAGTTATATGACGGTAGGTCTGTAAATAATTGAGTCTGTACCAGACAATCCAGTGATTGAAATCATGAGCATCGATCCACGCAATTGTGATACGATGACAAGCAAATTCGCCTTTTACGGCAAGATGAGTTGCTGAAGACCTATTCTACCCCGGATCTTCACGGGTCTAAAAATATTCGTTGAGGTTCTGATTGCAGGCCGTATATTTTAACATTTTCACATCTTTTCATAAGGTGCCTGAAAGGCAGTAATTTATGTCAACGATTCCTAGATTTAAGGAGGAAAGAAAGTCTTATCTTAATGTCATGCAATTCCTATTTCAGATTGTTCAGAAGGATATAAATCAGTTCATTATCATTCGGGAGAAGGAATTTACCTTATTCACCCAAGCATGGCGCCTTTCCCATTCAGTGTTTGGTGTAGGATGCAGTATGTTGGTAACACATACATTCAAAGGCGGATAGATGGGTCGACCAGTTTTAACCGATCATGGCAAGATTACAAAAATGGCTTTGGGGACCTTTCCAAAAACTTTTGGCTTGGAAACGACAAAATTGCCTACATAACAAATGGACGCGCGCAAAATCTCATCTTTGAGACAAAGGACGAGAGCTCCCCCAATATCAGGCAGCGGGTGTACAAGGAGTTCGTTCTATCCCAAGATGGCCTGTATTCCATGACTTACACAAATACATGGGGGCATGGCGAGCCTTCACGTCATGGCGGTGATTGTTTGGTGGAACTGAAGGGGCAACCCTTCTCTACCTTCGACCAAGATCGTGATGATAGTCCTCAAAACTGCGCTCAGGAACATGGGTCTGGGTTCTGGTTCAAGAACTGTACCGCGTGCAACCCTAATGGCGTTTGGTCAGACCCCCCAGAAAAGAAGAGAGCTGGAATACCTGAGGAGATGTTCTGGGACCCTGTTTCAGGAGATAACCTGATTATGCTTTGCTATGCCTTTTTGGCAGCCGTTTAAATGTACCTGTACATTCTAGAGTTGAAATTCATTAAAGCTCCTCAAAACTGCGCTCAGGAACATGGGTCTGGGTTCTGGTTCAAGGACTGTACCGCGTGTAACCCTAATGGCGTTTGGTCAGTGACTCCAGAAAAGAAGAGAGCTGGAATACCTGAGGAGATGTTCTGGGACCCTGTTTCATGAGATAACCTGATTATGCTTTGCTCTGCCTTTTTGGCAGCCGTTTAAATGTACCTGTACATTCTTGGGTTGAAATTCATTAAAGCTTCTAAAATGTATCATCAGTTGTGATTGAACTGTCGACAATATAGTTTCGATGCTACATCTTAATCGGTCTTATCGTGTGCATGTAACGCTATATATTCTTAAAGGGCAAGTTAAGTCAACATAGCAACTTTGCAGCTTTTAATACTTTAGGGCAGATTTAATCACAAATGCTTGACCGAAGTGAAATCGCGTAAAACATCAGACGAAATCGTCCTCCAAGCGAAAAATTCCGCCGCTTACAGGGTTACTGTTGTGTAATACGATGTGCAATTTGTATTATTATGATGAGTAGCCCGACGCCCAGTCTGTCTGCTTATGACTCGGATCTTATAATACACGACGTCCTATTTCTGTGTCCTCATCCGTTTGATTTCCATGTCAACAAATTATATCACCTTAGTAACAAATCTGAAGATGCCTTCAGTTGTTTACTCGTGGGGTTAAGCCATGACAGGCATTTATTGTGTGGTGTTTTATTACCAAGTTAGGATGTTGGTTATAAAACACTAGTTACTGATTGTTAATTGTTATCTTAATTGTTCACCATGTCAAGATCAAGGGACGTTTCACACATTCAACATTGTATGCAATGTTGATATTTTTTAGGATTAACAGAAATAGCAGAAACAGAATATGTATAACGGCTACGTTTATTTGTTTGTTGTTTAACGCCGCTCTCAGCAATCTTCCAGCTATATGACGGTAGGTCTGTAAATAATCGAGTAACCAGACAATCCAGTGATTGCCATCATGAGCATCGATCCACGCAATTGTGATACGATGACAAGCAAAGACGCCTTTTACGGCAAGCATGGGTTGCTGAAGACCTATTCTACCCCGGATCTTCGCGGGTCAAAAACTATTCGTTATTCGTCGACAATCCAGTGATTGAAATCATGAGCATCGATTCACACAATTTGGATATGATGACATACATCAACCAAGTCAGCAAACCTGACCACCCGATCCCTCTTACGACAAGCATAGTCGCCTTTTACGGCAAGCATGGGTTGCTGAAGACCTATTCTACCCTGCATCTTCACGGGTTCTCTGTGCACGTAATGATTTGATTTAATGCAGTTATATCTTTGTAAGATTTAATAAAAGCGATTCAACCCGTGCCATGAAGAAAGTGTTTTGGGTCCAGTTGCTTAAAGTATAACATAGTCTGCTACTCTGCTATAATTACAGAACATATCCTTTGTAAAGATCCAGACTCGATTATTTACAGACCGACGTCATATAGCTGGAATATTGCTGAGTACAGCGGTAAACAACAAACCAACCAACCTTTGAAAAGAAAGTACTTGTTTACAACGTCTACGTCCGTTTGCTTACCTTTGGTCGATTCGCCAAGGTTATCAGGAACTTAATTCATCCCCTAACTGACAATAGGCAGTGACTGAGACTGAGTTCTGAGATATCAATGTCCTCGTGTCCTTGGAATATTTTGGTTTTCGGACACAAAAGAAACATCGCCGCGCCCTAACAATGAATGAATAGATATGGAACTAAAGTGTTGTCTTACCCTCACTTTTTTATATTTTGCAGAAATCGTGATGGTATTTTCCCTCGTCATAACGATTCGGCCGGTCGCTTCAGCTACTAAAACAACTTCTTGAAATAGACGTCATCGGATTTTAGACATGAGTTTAAAAAATACCTCATCAGTTGTGATTGAACTGCTGACAAGATATCTTACCAATGTATAATAATTAAAAAATCATTACCCATCACAGATTACTTTTTACGAGACCCGTGAAGATCCGGGCTAGAATAGGTCTTCAGCAACCCATGCTTGCCGTAAAAAGCGACAGTGCTTGTGGTAAGAGGCGACTAACGGGATCGGGTGGCCAGGCTCGATGACTTGGTTGATACATGTCATCGTATCCCAATGGCGTGGATCAATGCTCATGATGTAAATCCCTAGATTGTCTGGTCCAGACTCGATTATTAACAGACCGCCGTCATATAGCTGGAATATAGCTGAGTGCGACGTTAAACAACAAACAATACAATACTTTTTACAAACCGTTTAAGGAATGGGTGATGGTTAAAAAAGATAAATTAATTTTGATATCAATTACATTAATAAACAAACTCGGTGTACATGTGTTTTCTTTTGCCCCTCAGTTTACATATATATGCATGTGTCCCAAACAACAACAACATTAATTCTGAAAAGTCAATTCAAGCTATAGACGGAAAAGATGATTGGCATCAGAACGTGGAGGATGAAATTTGTGTCCTCTGAGAACAGCTTGTGTGTTATTGGTTTCGTGGTGTTTAAATTGACATGACCATGCAGGTACATTTAGACAACCATCCCGATCGCATGTACAGGACTCTCAGTCGTAACTTCTTTTATAGTTCTACTCCAACTTCTAAATGCCTAAGTAAGGACAGGATTTATGGATGAATAACTCACGAATCACCGATGATTAAGTAGTCATTGTCCCCACCCCTGGCAAATGAATAGGTGCCCATGGTATGTTGGGTATCTGTTGAGAAAGATACTTTTAGACATAATAGTAATACCGATCCGAAACATTTCATCCTTTAACAGACTACAGACATTGTCCGCCCATTTACAATTTCGCTTGTTGTTGATTGATTTGGAATAGAGACATACATGTACCATTATATTAATCGATCTATTGACACGAGAATTGATTGTTTGCCAAATCATTTTTGTCTCTTTTATTTTATAATGATTATGGAATGGATTTAGTCGCTTTTATTATTTGCATTTATGTCTTTGTAAGATTAAATACGTGGGATTGAACATGTGCCATATACTAAAAGCGTTTTGCTTCCAGTGGCGTCTAGTTTATGACTGTCTGCTACCCGTCTTCGACTACAGAAAACATCCTATGTGAAGAAAGAACTTGTTTACGATGTCAAGCTTTATTAAAAGCTCTTATTAAAGGGCGCTACTGATGGAAGGCGATACGGTATATGTAATTATATCGCCATTTATGTCGATCCTATCAAATCGATGCAGGTAGCTGCACATGTGGCATTGATCTTGTAATGTGCTATGAAATGAATCTTGGAAAACATGTACAGACGATCCTGATGTGTGATAATTCCTGTAAAGTAATGACATGTGCACAACCTTCAACGTTAGATATGAGTGATATGGAGTGATGTTCGTATTGATTGTCACAAATAAGAGATCCTTGAACATTGGCCCATTCTTCTTTTTGCACAACTTCCAACCATGTGCGTACCAGTTTCTTTCCTCCCACGTGACCTGGAAGCTATTACCAAATGTTGTTCTCAGCTTTGTGTGTGTGTCAAAAGTAACTTTCACTCATTCACCCCTCTGTCCGCCTTTACCATGAATTATAGATTTGCTCCCGATCAAAAAGAAACTTTGCTACATAACCTGTACCTTTATATTTCCATTGTCGAGGAACACGAAGAAACTTTCCGGGTCTTCTGTATGTTAATGCCGATTCGACGTTAACTTTAAGATCACTCGCTGTATGTTTTCCAAACATGGTTCCTTGCATGTGTTTGTGATGGGGTAGGATGAGCTCACCTTTTCTCGGACACCTGGTGTCGCCACTATCTGATGATGATTCATAAACACCTGCTTGCGATATAGTCGGAGTCGTACACTGGGCTCTGTTTTAGGCAGAGAGTTCATATGATTGGTGAAGGGTTATGTAGGTATTAATTTAAAGACGCGTGTACGTGTGTGTGTGTGTGTGTGTGTGTGTGTGTGTGTGTGTGTGTGTGTGTGTGTGCTAGCCCATTGTGATACCATGCCACAGTTTCACATGAATACACCACTCAGACACATCTAGATATATGTATATACTTTCTTTGTTTTTCCTCTTAATGCCGAGCGCCAGGCAGGGTAACAACAAGTCCACCTTTTAACGTATTTTGGTATGACGCGGCCAGGGAATCTACCCACCGACGGTCCGCTCTCCGAGCAGGCGCTCTGCCGACTACACCACGCCAGACGACGATGTATCTAGTGATGCTAGTATTATATGCGATGTAAACTGATATAAAACAGATGAATGCAGTTGTCAATATGATTATTGTATCATTTGGAGAGCTTATGCGTTCAATAATTGATCAATATTGTGAACGAAAGACCCAACATATTGATCTATCGATTAACCCTTTTGATTTTATGGTCTGGTCAATGAAATGCCCAATCATTTTACACAGATCCCCCTGTAACTATAAATTGAGTACTTTCGCGCCTTATTCAACGGTTGCTCGCGAGTAGTTTAGTACACTAGACAACAAAGAAGGTTCAAATTTATATGTATTTGCCTGGTATATCCCCATTGTTTGAACCGGGCTGAGTTCTACAAAGCGATCTCAGCGCAACGATAGCCGTGAGCACCAGTAAGATCTGGTTTTCTTTTGTTGTCTATTGAAACATGAAATGCTGAGAATACAGCAAAGAAACTTAAACTTTTTTCAGCATTTAACTTGACTGGGACACGGTTACTCGGATAATGATGTTTATCATATAGTGGCTATGTTTTTCGGCAGGAAAAAGCCAACTGATTAAGGTTGTATCCGTTGGGGTCATATACGGATAAAGATGCAAATATGATAGGTCAGGTGAGTACTACTGCCAGTGTTTACCAAACAATATGGCGTCGCCCTTTCAGTCGACGATCGAGTCTACTGGGATAATTGTTAAACTAATATACTGAAAACCAGTGTCTAACTGGGACGTAGCTGAGACATTTTACAAGTTTTGGCAACTTTGGAGATATAAATTTCGCAACAATTTAGCGAAGACACTATTCTAGCGCAATAACGGGATCAGTTTCCATATCTGTACTTGTAGACCTCTGCGGCTTTCCCAAAATTAAAACAGTTGGATTTGGCCGAAGTATGTCCGAATTGTTACCTTGTTTCACTTGGTCGCTGTGTGTACATCATATATAAAATGCGCACATTCAAGGAAAACATGCAATGTTTGGGCAACGTTTGTGAGAGATGAAAACAGGTTTTCGAGCACAGAATTAAA